TTATATATGGAATTTGATTAGAAAAATATATAGAATTTGAATATGTTGTTATTTTACCTGTTAACCATTTAGAAAATACTATCTTGGGTGCAATCTTAATCAATAGTGCATTATCCGTCTTTTTTCATATCAGTACTGATCCGGATTATGGATGAACATCTCTGTAAAATTAGGATTGAGACGAAATTAAAGATCACTTGGTCGTTCTTTATACGTATTAAATCTACATGCAAGCCATGTTTAAATAGAAGACATGTGGAATCTTGAACTTGTGCTTTTGTAGGCAAAGACCATCTTTGTTTGGACCGTAGCTACAAATACTCAGATTATAGACTATTTTTTAAATATGGTATTCTTTTTTTTCCGTTGCAACGCACGGGCCATTTTACTAGTAATAATAATTTATAAACAGCGACACATTATGACAACAAAACACATTCCCATGAACAACAACACTTATATTTGTAAACATCAACAATTATTTGTACACACCACCACATTAAAGCAGCTGGCTGCTACGAGCCTGCGAGGTAATCCTAGACGTCAATCACGCAAATATGTAACCATATAAGGAACGATGCACTTATGGACATCAATCACCTGGATATGTATCACGAATGGGATTGAGGATGTGGGCTCGTGGCTTCGTTCATGGGCTAGCTGCTGGATTTATGTTTTTTTTAAAAGGAGGTCAAACCCTCCGCCTCTGCATCAATCAATGCATACAGCCATCTTTATTAATTATTCCACAAAAGTCTGACAAAAACATACATCAATCCATCTGAAGCCATCATTCACATCTACAAACTTGATAATGTGGAGTGTTCTCACTCCCTATATCTAAAACCGGTGTCGTCGCCTATTCATCCATATAACGTATCGGGATCAACAGCCGGTGCAGCCTACCTAAAACGCACACCACAGGCACACGTTTTAGAAGCCGCCATCATCATCGGACCACTGACCCATCTTCAGGAGAGATATCAGCATCGTCCTTGCCAGTCAGGACATCCGTCGACGCCACCACGGCGCCCAACGGCGCCACCGCCCTGCGCTCATCCGCCTAGACGCGAAGACTCTGGAAGATCTGTCGTGTGTAGCACCTACCAACTAGGCATGACTCAGCTGACAGCTCCACCGAAGTTCCGTGCAAGACGAAGCCGCTCCACCTCTTGCCTCTGTCTTCCAGCGCTGCTCCACAAACGATGCTCCCAAGAGAGAAACGACACCGTAGTACCGCCATCGTCCAATCTGAAAGACCAGATCCTAGGGTTTCCCCCGAAGCAGCACGAGTAGGTCGACAACAGTTACATGACGATGCCTTCATCAAGGTAACGACGCAAAACGCCACCATCGCCCGCCAACGGCTCGGTTTTCACCGGTAACTATGTCTCCCCGACTCGTAGCCGGTACTAGATGACGGATCTCAAGATCCGAACACCCAGCCGCAGGCCGATCACCTCTGACGGAAGAGATGACCACCACCGCCGACTGCACCAGTCAGAACAGATCTGACCGAAGGTGCCACCGATGCGACCACTAGGCCCTCCACGCCGCCGCCGTCGCCCAAACAGGGCTGGCCGCTGCACCCGTTGTCCGCGCCGCCTCCGACGCCACCGCGCCATAGCCATTGTCGTTGCCGATTGGATCTGACGCGCCTCCACATGATTCGGGGCCCCGCACAACCCCAGATCCACGTGAGAGAGGTGATGTTCTCCGCCACCGCCGTCGGCCCCGAGGCTTGGACCGGCGGCGTCCCCCGGCGGTGGCGGAGGGTGGGAAGGAAGGAGTATGCGCCCTGGGCGGCTGGGTAGGGAGCCGCCCGAGTCACCCTAGCGGGGACGACGCGAGCTGTGGGATTTATGTACATAATATAATTTGTTTAATATGTGGTAAATAATATTTAATGCCTATTTATCAGATTATATGCGGTTACATGGGAACCATACCCCTACCCACAATACCCGATGGGTTTTAAAATTTTCTATTTATGGTTTAGTGTAACCCATACCTTTGCCTTAATAGGGTTCTTACCTACCGGGTACGCGGGTAATTGGTATCCATTGCCATCCCTACCTCCGCCCGTTGAAGAGTGTACATTTGACTTTAATATTTGTCCATAAAAAAGTCTACTTTTATCTTTCCATTGCAATTTAAAGTAGAAAAAATGTTTCTCTCTCATCACAAAGTAATCAAGACCAATAGCCTTCTACACATAGTTTCCTTAATTTCTACATGCACTTGACGCATTGGGGTTGAATAATTAAAGAGGAGAGATAGTGACTTGCATCTTTTTAATGCATTTTTTACTTCACTCCATAATTGGTCCTAAAATTTCTATATATATACTTTTCACCGGACGGAGGGAGTAGACCACGACCAAACACCCATAGTCTAAAACAGCATGGCCATGCACAAAATGAAAGAAAACCCAGGCTGAATCGAGGCAGCGTCCTGATGTAGACACGAAGCTCAGGAAACGAACCAAACGGAACCATAATTTCTATTACTTCTGATGTTATTTGTACTGCTTTGACAATTAATAAATAGGTCGAAAGTTTTCTTGAAAAAATAAATAAATAACTGGAATTCACAAAAAGAATGTTCGCACGTTGCCTCACTCTAATATGTATACACACCAAGAAGTATCTTAAAAAAATCCATAGTTTTCAACCCAGTTTTTTTTTTACTTTCTTAAATAAAGGGAGCATGTGTTTCCTTGAGCAGAAAATCCATTCTTGTACAAGCTGGAGTAGGTTGTAGCAGTCCAGTACTTCCTAATTCCTACTCCCTCCGTCCCATAGTGTAAGATGTTTTTTGACACTTCTCTAATGTTAAAAAACGTCTTACATTATGGGACAGAGGGAGTATATAATATATATGGGACAATTGCATTTTTATCCCTAGTTGGTTCTTACCCACGGTTTTTGCTCTTACTTTTTAAGCTTGCTCAGTTTTGTCCTTACTTTTTTCATCAAGGTCCCTTGAATACCCTTTGACCGTTTGACCAAAACTTTGAAAATTCATAACTAATTCATATGAACTCAGAAAAATGCAAATAAGATATCAAAATGTTCAGATAAACATTACCTTTATGGGCATATCATTTGCATTCATGACAAAAGCATTGTTTAGACTACCTAAGGTAATTAATGTTATTAGCATTATTAAAAATAAATAGGTATAAACAATATTTTTTTTCGTGAATAAAAATTATATGCAAATGTAGGTGATGTTTTCTGAACATCCTGATACCTTATTTGCATTTTCCTGAGTTAGTATCAACTTGTTATGAAGAGTCCCAATAATGGTCAAAGTCGTTAGAACATTCATAACAAGTTGATACAAACTTAGAAAAATGCAAATAAGTTATCAGGATGTTCAGAAAACATCACCTACATTTGCATGTAATTTTTATTCATAAAAAATATATTGTTTATACCTATTTATTTTTAATAATGTTAATAATATTAATTACCTCGGGTAGTTTAAACGATGCTTTCGTCCTAAATGCAAATGATATGCCCATAAAGGTAATGTTTATCTGAACATTTTGATATCTTATTTGTATTTTTTCTGAATTCGTATGAATTAGTTATGAATTTTCATTGTTTAGGTCAAACGGTCAAAGGGCATTCGAGGGATCTCGATGGGAAAAGTAAGGGCAAAACTAGACTCGAAAAGTAAAGGCAAAACCCGTGGGTAGGAACCAACTAGGGATAAAAATGCAATTGTCCCTATATATAGGCGGCGTATCAAGTGCATCCGGGGTGGGTCGTGCATCCCTGTATCCATCGCCTCCTCAGCCGGCCGATCACCATCTCACGCACCGGATCAAAAGCAATAGAAAACTGCAAAAACACGCCCGCACCAGCTCTAGGTTATGTGTGCTAATTTGCTAATAACCCCTTGGGGGAGTCAGCTCTCCTAATCCCCTTCTCCCCGTCTCCTTCAAGCCCTAATCAAGACCGCAACATGCATCGCAACGACAACCACGCCCGCAATGGCATGCATCTACAAGGACACTTGCCACGACGGAATTCATCTGCCGAGATGATCTCCACAACGGACCGCCCCAACAGAATGTATCCCTGAACTCCCCTGAGCATGGTGGACACATCCTCGACGCGTGATACGCTGCAGCCGATCATCACGGCGGCTCCTGTTATTATGGGTGTTTTTTTAGAATCTGTTGTTATGGATGTTGAACATGCATCAACAGTGATGGATGGATCTTGCGTGGCCCTGTTTCTCCATAATTCAACTGGTGACCCAGAGTATGCCTCCCCATCTAGCCATCAGGACGCACATCTGACTTGCCTAAAAATGCTACTGTTGCAGAATACGAACTGAACTGCAGTACTGTGCATGGAGCTTCAGGTAACACATCAAAAAACTAATATTTGTGTATGTTGTACATGCGTACTTGTTGTATCGACGACTAATCATGTAGATGAATGTGCAGCTAGAGTATCTGGCAAAAGCTTGCTAACTCAAATGAATGAGGGAGAATTTGCTACACCAAAAATGAAAGCCAATATTTCTATCTTCATTAGTTTAATAGATTTTTTTTAACCATGTTGCTTTTCAGTTCAGAGAGTTATGCCTGCTGATGATCACCGGGCCGTGGAGCCATTTGAGGCAGGAGAACGCGGAGGTCGGCTAGCTGAGCGCGGCCGCCGTCGAAGGATTCGTCATGGCCGCCGCCATGGAGCGATCGGAGAGGATCCAGATTGAGAAACTGATATTTTGACAAAGGTCTGCTTGGTTAAGGGGGTCATTAGCAAATTAGCAACAGCGGCTGCGGGCGTCTTTTTGTAAATCCGTGTTGCTTTTGATCCCATGCGTACGATCTTTATCGGCTGGCTAGTAGCCACGGGATACAGGGATGCACGACCCACCCCGGATGCACATGATACGACGCCCTATATATATATATATATATATATATATATATATAGCGTGTGAGCCAAGACCATAGCTTTGCTAGGCCAGGCGGCATGAGAGAAACCGTGGTTCTGTACGCCGGACTTGGTGCGGGGCACCTGGCGCCGATGGTGGAGCTGGCCATGCTCTTCCAGCGGCACGGCCTCACTGCCACCGTCGTCATCGCGGAGTCACCAGCCAAGTCCGCTGCTGCGGTGGCGAGCCCGTCCATCAACATTCACGTGCTGCCATTGCCAACACCCGAGCCCCCGTCTTCGAACGATCCTGTGGTGCAGATGTTCGATCTGCTACGCCGCACGAACGCACCACTCCGTGACTACCTCCGGTCGGTCCTCCCCTCCGTGCGCGCTCTCGTCGTCGACATATTTTGCGTCGACGCCCTCGACGTCGCCACGGAGCTCGGCGTGCCGGCATACCTGCTCTACACCTGCAGCGCGAGCTGCCTCGCCGTCAACCTCAACCTCCCGCACGTGCAGGCCAGGATCGACGCCACCGGAGATGTCGGCGGCCCGGTGCTCTCATTCCCGGGCAATCGCCCGATCAAACTCACGGACCTCCCCGACGGTACTTTCGACCCCAACCACGAGCCGTTCAAGGAGTTCCTGCACTTGTCCGCGCGGACGCTGGAGTTCAGCGGCGTCCTCGTCAACACGTTCGAGTGGCTAGAGGCGAGGGCGCTGCGCACGCTCAAGGACGGCTCGTGCATCCCCGCTGCCATGCCGCCGGTGTACCCCGTCGGCCCAATGGTTGCCGGCTGCGGAGGAGGGGACAGGGAGCACGAGTGCCTTGCATGGCTGGACGGGCAGCCGGAGAAGAGCGTGGTGTTTCTCTGCTTTGGGAGCAGGGGCTGCTTCCCCAAGAAGCAGCTTGAGGAGATCGCCATGGGGCTGGAGAGGTCCGGGAAGAGATTCCTGTGGGTGGTGTCCAGCTCATCTGAAGATCAACTACAGGACCTCCTGCCGGAGGGATTCCTGGAGAAGACCGACGGCAGAGGGTTCGTGGTCAAGTCGTGGGCGCCACAGCCGGAGGTGCTGCAGCACCGGGCGACAGGCGCATTCTTGACGCACTGCGGGTGGAACTCGGCCCTGGAGGGGATCGTTGCTGGGCTGCCCCTCATCTGCTGGCCGCTCTACGCAGAGCAGAGGCTGAACAAGGTGTTCATCGTGGAGGAGCTGATGGCCGGCGTGGAGATGGCAGGGTACGACGGCGAGCTGGTCCCGGCCGCGGAGGTGGAGTCCAAGGTTAGGTTGGTGATGGAGTCGCCGGGCGGACAGGCGCTACGGGAGCGAGCCATGGAAGCCAAGGAGAGGGCCGCACGGGCGGCACAGCAAGGTGGAGCATCCGACGTTGCTTTTGCCGAGTTCCTCGCGCACTTGGAAAGTGTTGTTCGTGGCCATTAACGTGCGAACTTTCTTTGTTCCAAGTTCCTTGTCTATCTACTCCCTCCATCCGCATCCGCAAATAAATGTACATTTAGCTTTTGTCAACTCAAATTTTTGACCAACTTTATAGGAAAGATATCACTAGATTCATTTTAAAATGTAGTTGCATAATATACCATTTGACTCATATATGCTATTACTTTTTTTTTCATAAAATTGGTTAAAATTTTAAAACATTAACTTAGGACAAAAGCTAAATATACACTTACGAAAGAAGTATCTATTACTGGGTCTTTCAAATAATGCAATATATACTGGATTTTTTTTCCTTTTTTCTGAAACGCGGCCCCTTAGAATCCGATTCATTAAACAAGGCAGAGGAGAGTTGCCTGGTTAATTAACGGAAACTAGGATAAAATCCGATACAGCACACCCCTAACAGGGCACCATCAACACACGTCGATCCCGGGGCCGCGCATTTGGCAAGCCGCCGGCTCCATCACCCGAGTAAACCGTAGTCGACACCCTACAACCAAAACCGAAGCCGCTACTCCGGCATCCACACCGACCCCAAGGCCACGCCCCAGGTGAGCCGCCTGCTCTGTCGCCCAAACAACCAAAGCCGATACCCTGCAACTATCTTCAGAACCGCCACTCCGATGTACAAATAGAAACCACACACACCAACCCTGAGGCCGCGCATCACGCGAGCCACCAACTTCGTCACCCTAGAAACCAGAGCCGACACCCAACAACCATATCCGGAGCCACTGCTCTCACCTCCACACCGACCCAGAGGCCGTGCACCAGGCTCGGCAACGACACTGCCACCCACGTGACCAATGCCAGCACCCCTCCATGATGACAAGATCCGGAGCCGCCGCTCCGACTTCCACGCCGGCCCCAAGGCCGCGCACCACCCGAGTCGATGGCTCGTCCTGGCCAAGACCTCTCCAGAACGATGCCTCCAAGAAGGAACGCACACCGAACCGCTGCCATCGTCCACTCCAGGAACCTGGAAAAGGGGTTTCCCCCAGAGTGCGAGAGAAGAGGCCGTAGAGCCTCAAACGATGACACCTCCAAGAAAGTGTGCGGCGCCCACAAGCGTCGTCGTTGTCGGCTCCAGACAAGGCCAAGGCAAGGCTTACGCCCCAAGCAGCCAGCGAAATCTATCCCATCGAATCACCATATGGGAGCCACCGTCCTCCTGAATCACCACCCACCACTAGAGCCTGAAGTTGCCGATGAGAACAGCCTCGCCGTCGTCACCTGCACCACGCAGAGCCGCCAAGTGGGCTACCCCATCACCACCTGCACCACGCGGGGCCGCCAAGTGGGCTACCCGATCACCATCGCAGGAGCCAGAGGCGGCCACGTTAGGCCAGATCTTGCATCTATCCCCCGCAAAAGCAACAGCCAACCCATCGGCCAACACCAAGCCTCCCTGGCACGACCAAGGGCTGATGCACTGCCACAGAGCACCAACACCCCTGAGCTCCAGCCATGGTATCGCCCACGCAGCCACATCGATCGCCTTCGCCGAAGAAGAGGTCCGGGGCCGCCGCCCCGACGTCCGCAGTACATCCCCGCACCACTGCGCGACCTCTGGGAAGCACATCCTCCACGCCTCCCCGGGCCTCCATGCCCTGGGTGTCTTTCGTTTTTTTTGCAAGTACTTGGTCCTTTTTTTAACATGGTACAATTGAAGTCGCACACAAACACGAACATACACCCATTCCTATGAACGCACACACTATCTCCACGAGCACCTCCGAGAGATTGAGCCGGCACATCATCTTAAGATTGACAAAGTCGCCACAGACGCCTTCGTAGTAATTTCATGAATTTCCTAGCTATTCTTTCATGTATATATGTTTTATCGACCTAGTATATCCTTTCTTATAAGAAATTAATGGGTGTACCTATGTACACCCATGTCGCCTTGTAGCTCCGCCCATGATAGTCCCTCCGTTTTGGAATATAAGATGCATCAATTTTGTGTAAGTCAAGGGATTGAACGTTTGACCAATATTAGAGAAAAAATATATTTAGGTTAAACTACAAAAAGTCATATATTTAGGAATGTAGGGAGTAGAAATTAAAAAGTATACCCAAATCTTTCGAGGTGTTGAATCTTCTTATTACTCTCGTGTATATCCAATGACACGTGCCTTGGTGCTGAAAAAGTCTTAATATTTTCATAAGCAAAATATGATTTGTAGGGTTAACGTCATGGAGGATAATGAGTCAATGTCATAACTATGGCGCTGAGCTCTGTACCCTTTGGCTTGACTCTGCAAACTACTTTTTTGCACCACTTACGCCTGACACGTCAGTCAGTGGTCATCGGTCACCACTGTTGTGATCGTTCACCACCGACGTCGACACGGATGCATCTACCACGCGTCACTTGTTGCGCCACTGCTCACGGGTCAATGGGTCATCAGCCGGCCGGTGAGCAGTACTACCGACGATTTTCTCCTAGCACACCAGTGGTGACTGATCACCAATTTTCACTGTTTGAAACTTGTGACTGATCACCAAATTTGTTTATCGCGTAGTGCGCCTAACCTTAATCGGTCCTATTCAGAAGGGTCCCTAGTCGACCGTAACTGGAACGAAATGGTTTGGTTTGCATCCTATTTCAACCCGCCTTCATAGATGCACCAATAATTCGCTGATAGGGATCCTTTCTTTCTTTGAATTGTTGATAGGGATCCTTTCTGAAAGGTAGAGCACGTACGACGTACGGCCCCATACGAAAAATGCAGCGCGTACGAACTGGGGCGGAGAACCCAAGGCCAGCAACACTTGATTACTCATTTGTTTTTATTGGTGGATGGTATAACTATCACCTTTCCTCCTGTTTGCAAATCGTGCGCCGATCTCGGCCATGTTTGCGGTGGTGGACATGCTTTCACGGCTGATGCTTCGTGGTAGGGTGCTGATAGTACGTCATGAAAGCACCCTGTGTACAGTTGAGCATCCCGAAGATGGTGAGGTGACTGTCCAATACTACGATGTGCGGTGCAGGCGTGCAGCGTGCTCTGGGCCAACTGCAACACGCGACTGCATTCTGTCCGTTCCTGTTCGTTTAGGTAGAAACGGACAAAAAAACGCGGCTCAATACGCTGCAAAAGAACGCCCTCCGCGATCCATTTTCAGCGCAATTTTGATCCGCGTTTGCGTTGAAACCAACAGGGCGCGCGCCCTTGCCCTCCCCTGACCCGTCCGTCGGGGACACAACATTCTCATTTTTCACC